GAAAGGCTCCTACAATCCTGGTCTGGGTGATGTGTGTGATTTATTCTTTGGTGAATTATCATCCGGGACAAAAAGAAAATGTCTTCATCTGCTTTGCCCAGCTAGGCCAAGCCCTGCGAGTGGTGGCATTCCCCTGAGCATACAGCATCCTTTCTGCCTTTCTAGTCCTTATGGAAGGGGTTCACCCATCCTGTGGGGTCAGAGGCACTCCTGACAGAGGTGTGCATGGTAGTCCTCTAAATGTCTTGACCTGGAAGGGCCTGGCCTGACTGTCGCCTCCCCCCTCCATGTGTCTTCAGAGGAAGGTATGGGTCAGGGACTAGAGATGATTGCAACAATCCAATGCCAGCAAACCAACCCAAATGGCAGAACCTGGCACACGAGTGAATTCCCTCTTCTTCTTTTTATTCTGGTAAAATATATACAATATAAAATTTACCATCATAACCATTTTAACCAGTTCCGCAGCGTTAAGTGCATTCACATTGTTGTGTAACCATCCCCACCATCCGTCTCCTGAACTTTTGCATCTTCCCAAAGTGAAGTCTGTCCCCATGAGACACTAACTCCCCATCACCCTCTCCCAGTCCCTGGCTCCAACCATTCTACTGTCTTATGAGTTTGACTCCTCCAGAACCCTCACAGAACGGAAAATCTGTGCTTTTGTGACTGGCTTATTTCACTCAACATAATATCCTCAAGGTTCATCCATGTGGAAAGATGTATCAGAATTTCCTACTTTTTTCAGACTGAATGGCATTCTGTAACATGGGTAGACAATTTTTTGTTAATCCATTCATCCATCAATGGACACGTGGGTTGCTTCCATCTTTTGGCTGCTGCAAGCATTGCTGCTGTAAACACAAGTGTGTAAAAATATCTGTTCAAGTTTCTGCATTCAGTCCATTGGGGTATATACCCAGAGTTGGAAATGTGGGATCATATGGTAACGCTACGTTTACATTTTTGAGGAACTGCCAAACCGTTTACCACAGCACCTGCACCTTTTATATCCAGCCACCCTCCCCCACCCACTCCCATCCTCACCAAGTGATACCCAAGGCTTATAATCAGAGACTTCTTTAGCCCCAAGCCATGGAACGAAAACCCATTATTTTACTCATTCACTTGCTCCATGAGTCATTCTGCCACTCATCCCTTCACTCACCAGGTGACTTTGAGCACCTGTGCATGCGGACATCTGTGCTCTACATGCACCCCGCCCCCTCTGCTTCACCAGCAGAGCCACAAAGTCAATGCTGGCTTGACACTTGCAAGTGACTACTGCAGTGATGGCTCCTAGACTCCCCGCGTCCCATTTCCTCATATTTCTATTTCTCTACTCTGCACGTTACCCTTTTAGACTTGGCAGTACCAGAGGATGCATTTTCCAGGGAGGGTGCCAAGAAAGGAGAAAAATGGCTTCTCAGTTCCCTCCCTACCACCACCAGAACCTACACTTCTAAAAAAAAAAAAAGCAAAAGGATAAATAGCTGCAAACAGCAAACAAATAACAAAGAGCACTTGCTTCTTCATTGATGTGCAAGTCCAACTCAAACCATAAAGCTATGTAAGTCTGCATTAGGCCAAATGCCAGATAGCACCTCACTCCTGGAGAGGTATTGTGCTCCCTCAAAAGAATGGTTCATGTGTCTAGGGATTCTTTTTCCCACTGATTCACAGTATCAAATATGACAGGGGGAAAAATTGGTACTTAGTAGAATGGCTCGGGTAAGGAAACACTACAACACTCATCTATCCACAAAGCCAACACCATCTTCATCACCCAGTGACACCCTGGGAGCAAGGGTGCATACTGGTACTCTGGGGAAGGCCACGTAGGATTTTCCTGGTGCTGCTATAACACAGTTCCACAAACTGGGGGGCTTCCAACAACAAACACTTATCCTGCCACAGCTCTGGAAACCCGAAGTCGGAAAGCAAGGAGTAAACAGAGCCACGCTTCCTCCAAGGCTCTAAGGAAGAAAACTTGTCTTTTCCAGCTTCAGCTGGTGGCCGGCAATCTTTGGCTCATGGCCACATCACTAGTCCCTACTCCTGTTGTCACATGATCTTTTCCCTCTGTGTATGTTTCTTCTTCTAAGGACACCAGTCACGTTGCATTAGGGCCCCTACTCCTGAAGGATCTCATATAATCTTGACAACATCTGCAAAGACCGTATTTCCAAATAAGGACCTGTTCTCAGGGGGTTGGGATGGATGTGAACCTCTTCTGGGGACACCATTCACTCCATCGCAGCTGAAAAGGAACAGATGGGCCAAGTCCCTCATAGAACCTGGTTTGCATTCCTCCTTCTACCAGGTTGACATGTTGAGTAAGACTCAGTCATTTACCACTTTATAGTGATTAAGATGTGCTCTAGCCCTGGCTGGTGTGGCTCCCTGGATCGAGCATCAGCCTGCAAACTGAAAGGTCACCAGTTCCACTCCCAGTCAGGGCACATGCCTGGGCTGCAAGCCAGGTCCCAGGTTGGTTGCATGAGAGAGGTAACCACACAGTGATGTTTTTCTCCCTTTCTTTCTCCCTCCCTTCCCCTCTCTAAAACATAAGTAAAATCTGTTTTCAAAATCTCTTCAAAGCTCTTTTGAAAAAACTGCTATACATTAAAAAGCTCCTGGAAGTTTCAGGTTCTGGAAAATCTTCTTGATTTGCCATTGCTGACCTTTTTAAACTTACAATAAAGGAGATGGGAGGCTGTATATCCTCAATCCCCATTAGGTGTTTTACAAAAGCCTCAGTTATAGGAAGCCAAAATGAACAACAACAACAAAAAAGCCACCTTGTACCACTGATGTTAATTTATATCCTATGGCCAAGTGTCCTTACAAAGCAGGGCCGGCAAGTCACATATTCCCAGACAGTGTCACATACATCCCAATGCCTTCCCTTCGTCTCTATTCCAATGGCAACACACACCAAAGGTGTGACTTCCAGCAAAACACACAGAGTGCCAGACACTGAGATGACAGGCCGAGGCCAGTACGCAAAGCCAGCAAGTCCCCAGGACAGTGCGACTTGTATACACGCAGGTCAAGGGATTTTCATTTCTTGGTTTTTCTTCTTTGCTTTCTCCACCTCCTCCCACTCCCCGCTTTTTTTTACCATGGGATTTCAAAATAACAATTATAGTCTGAGACGATTTGGTCCAACCTGCTGAATTTATAAAGTGGGAAACTGAGTCCCATAGAGAGAAAGCCACTCACCTGGTATCCAGTCATCAGGAAAGGAAACCTAGACCCACAGAATCTCCACAGAGACTGCATTAGCCCCTGCCACCCACCCAGAGCTTTGCAGGCCACGCTTTCTGGGTTTGGTATGGTGGCTGTCGGGGGGCGGGGGGGCGGGTAGGGATGCTTGCTGAATCCTTAGAGAGCTTCATCCAACCATCCCCACTTGGTTCTGATCTGTCCCGGGGCGGGGTATAGGGAGGGGACAAACTGGAACAGGCAGAGTTGGAGCGCCCTCCCATCCAGACCAGGGGGGTTCTTCCTTCTGAGAGTTAAGAACATGGCCCCATCAACTGCATGGGGCCAGCCACCTCGTTGGCAGCTGAACCTGAGGAGATCCAAAGAAATGGACACTTCTATAGGAGTCTGCGACCTTGTCAGGGCAGAGACAACAGAGAATTCAATAAGCAAAACACCCGTCTCTTAGGTCCCTTCAAATCAATGGTAGGCACTGGCCAAGAGCAGTGCCCTGTCGATACAACACGGGCAAGGCCCGGGGGTGCTGGGGCCCAGTTTGCAGGGAAGAAGGGTATGGCACAGGCAAGGTGCCTTTTGAACAGCAGAAGGCAGACAGGACTGGCAAGGGCACTGAAGCTGTCCTCAGAGGCCTGCTGGGCTGGGCCCCTCACCCCGGGTCCCCAACCTAGATGCTGACCCTGCCCTCCAAGGGCTCCCAATTAAGCTGGGAGTGCAGATGTGAAAAGGACACAATGAAAAAGGGGACACTTACTGACATGTACTTTGGTCCCTCACCCTGAAGATTAAATAGCCTACTTTGTAAACTCGAGCAAGCTGCACTGCCTGACTTGTTACGAGTGTGACTCCTCCCTGTGCCAACCAGGGATGAACGCCCGGAAGCGCCCTGGCAGACTCCAGGTGTTCCAGCCACCCCCCACCGCAGTGGCTGCCACGGGGCATGGCAGCCAGTGTTCACAGCCCACGGTCCCCTGGTGACAACCTCCCAAATGAAGGGAAGTACTTGGGACAGCCCTCTAGACCCTATGCCATCATGTGTTGACAGGACGGTCCCACCAGTGTGCACTGAGCCCAGTGGGGGTTCACAGGGATCAGAACCCAGGCTGGTCTGCTTCCCTGACTCACCCAAGAGCAGTCCTTCACGAAGTGCCTTCTGAGTGGGAGTTGGAGACGGGGGTGCCATGGCTCTGAAATTCTCTACATTTCCCATTCAAACTCAGTACCTCAACACTAAACGTTTATTGCTCCTGCCCTGGCCGGGTGGCTCACGTGGTTAGAACGTCATCTGCATGTGCCACGGCTGTGGATTCCATCCGCAGTCAGGACACATACAAGGGTCCACCACTGAGGTGGTGGAACAAGAAATTGATCTCCCTCCCCCCAACCAATAAATAAAATGTTTTTTTAAATGTATTACTTCCTAATTACATTTTGGTCAGATCTTTGTGTTTCGAACCCGCACAATAATGCCTAACCCCCCCCCTCCAAAACATATGCTCTCACCCGGGCAGGATGATCGCCAAGCCCTGCAAATGTGCCAGTGGTGGAGCAGTGATGACATGTGGGCTTCCTCAGAAGACACCGCCACGACACGGGCCCGTGCTGTGCCGTCATGCCCTGAAGAAGTGACAGAGGGCCTTCCCCAGAAACGTCTTGGGAGCACAAGGTGCAGTCCCACGTGGACAGCAGAGCATGGAAGGAGAAACAGAGTCCGGACAGCACCCAGAAACACCCCAGGGCAGCGCTGGCTACAAAGCAAAGTCAGGGTGTGTCCATTCATTTGCATCATCTTTTATTAAACAAAATAAAACTTCATCTATTTATACCTTCTATAAATCTGGCCTTTAAAAAATATCCCCCAAAGTACTGTGCCATCTGTTCTTTGATGTTCCTTCCAATGATTCCAAATCTCGACGGCAGTCTGTGTCCTCTCCAAGGACAAAGGCAGACAGGGGTGCCTCGGAGCCGCCCCACACAGCACACGCCTGCCTGCTAGGGGTACAGCTCCTGTCACTGTCAGGACCATGGCTGCCGGGGACAGTCATGGCATTAGGCTCAACATGGCAACATGCCATTGCCTTCACCAGCCCATCTCCGGCAGCAGGAAACCAGTTCTCCCAGCCAGTCCTCTGGGCACTGGCCATGATGGCAATGTGGTGGCACCGTCCCCTGGCAACTGAGCACCTCAGGCCTCTCTTTGGGCAGGCCTGCACCTGGACCTTAGGGGATCTCCGTGTCCATGGTGTAAATCTGAATGAGATCGCACACAATGTTATCAATGGTTGGCTTGGTGAGGTCGTCACTGAACACCTAGAAAGGAGAAGGAAACAGGTTCCGATTAGACTCCCTCTGTGTCACACAAGGCTCCCACCGCTAAGTGCAAATCACACTGCATGGCGGGGGACGTGGGGGGAACGGCATGAGGACTTCACTATTGGAAAATGACGATGGCTCTCTGCAATGCCAGTCCAGTTCCAGCCTGCCAAGGTCGATCGCAAAGCAGATCACAGAACATTCCAGGTGGAAGAGGCCTGGGTCATCATCTGACCCAGACAGGATAGGGGGCTTGCCTTGGGTTACCCAGGGAGTTGGCAATAGAGGTGGGCCAAGAGCACAGGCGCCTGCCTCCCCACAACCTCCGCCTGGCCTCTCTCAGCTTGGAGATCTCTAGGAATCTTGGGAGAGAAAGGGGCAGGAATCCATTTCAAGAAATAAACATGCTAGATCACCTTGACCCCACCCCACCCTAGGCTGGCCCATGGGGAACACATGGATCTGGCTCTATAGTCTGGACAAAAGATCCTCTTGACTGTGCCAGAGAGATTATAAACTTGTAAGATGAGTCCCCAGGGGCCCAAACCAAGAGTAGTGTGCAGCTCAGGGCTGACTCTGAATGATCCCAAGGAAGGTCTGGCCCTTGCCTGGCTCCTGGGAGGGGAATTCTAGGCCCCCGGCACAAGGGCCCTGCCAGGTAGTCTGTGCTGACAACAGACTGCGCTCTGCTGGGGGCTTGGAGAGAACATATGAGTTTGACCTGCAGGGGCTGCAGACTGAGTGGCTGAGGTCAGCCACGTGGCCGCTGCAGGACTGCAGGGCCGACTCCCAGTAAAGTCCCTGGGCACCACTGCTCAGGGGGGCTTCCCTGGTGGTAGCCCTCTGTGCACGTTGTCACACATCATTGCTGAGAGACACTGTGCTGTCTGCACAACTCCACTGGCGGGGGACCTGGAAGCTTGCTCCTGGTCTCTCCTGGACCCGCCCTACACACACCTTTCACTATAATTAACCCTAACAACCATCGCCACAAGTATAACGGCTTTTCTGAGTTCTGTGAGTCCTCCTAGCCAAGCATGGAGCCTGGGGGCGTTCTTGGGGGCTCCTGATGACATGGGAAATAAAAAGCAAGCAACACAAAGAGACCTTGGTTGGATGCTGTGTCCACCCTGGGCCACGGGGTTGCTGCCTGGGGAACCAAGGTGCCATGAGGGTCAGGCCTGGGGCTGAGCCAGGACAAAAACTGGACTTGAATCCACCCCCTCCAAAGTCCTCATAGGACCCTCCACAGGCTACCACCTCACGTGGGAAACAGTGACCTGAACACCCCCTGAGCCCTGGCTGAGGAAGGCTGTCTGTCTCGCCCTGGGCTCCGGGTGAAAAACAAATACCTCAGAAATATGGGCTTGTCTTTGTCCACTACCTCTGTGCTCCTGGAGACCCCAAACTGAGAAGTGACCATTAAAAGTAGTTTCGGCCAAAAACTGCAAGCAACCCAGGTGTCACTCCATATAGGGCTGGACAAACACAACGTGGTCCATCCAGACCATGGAATAGTATTCAGCATTAGAGGACAGAAACTGACACACTCTACAACATGCTACTGAGTTAGAGGCAGTGCCTCATGGACCCAGAGGCTCAACAAGGCTTGGCGCAAAGGCCTGCTGCAACTCACACACTCGAGTGCTGGCAGGCTAGCAGCGGGGAAACGTGTCAAGCTTTGCTAGGTCTCCTGACCAGCATAGTGGAGCCCCAGCCCACAGCAGACAAGTGATGACAAGCAGTTGCAGCAAACAGTGGCGGGCAGAGAGCACGCAAGCAGGGAAAGTGTTTTGCAAATCAGACATAAGTGTTCCAGGACCGGGCAGGCGAGACATCATTTGGGAGCCAGCCTTCACCGCTCATGAGTTCAAAAGGTGTCCGGATTCTAGATGCTACCAGTGCCAAGGGCCCAGAGCCATCCAGAAAAGGTGAAGAGCTGAGTAAACGTGAGCACACCACCCCCCAAAGAAGCCCTTCTTCCCAGTTGTGAGAGTACTGGTTAGGTCGGTGGTGCCCAGAAAACAAGCTCATGGTGGTGCTGCTTCCTGGTGCTCTGATCTCGTGAGGGCTGAGAGTGTGGAGCACAGGTAATACAGTGGCGCCCTGTTAAGTTCAGGAGCAAGCGAAGAGAAGGCAGACACAGAGGACAACCCGCAGGGACAATGGGAAACCAGTGACGACACTGTGGATCCAAGCACCCAATGGACTGGGGACTCTATGTCCACCAGATGGCCTCGGAGAGCAGGGCCAGCAAGTGGCAGCCCCAGCAGAGCAGAGGCACTGCAGGCACATGATCCGGAGCTCCCTAAGAAGCCCCAGCACGGAGCAATAATTCTGTCCACACAGATGCCCTTTCATCCCCATGCTGCTGGGGGATTCATGTAGCCCAAGACCCGGGTATGGATGCATTTCTTCACATATGTGAGCACCTACTATATGCCAGGTGTAGGCACTGGGTATGGGGCAGTTGGTCAAGCAGAGAAGACCCCTGGCCTCCAGGTGCTTACAGTCTGGCAAGTGGGGGGGGGGCAGGGGAGACCAGACAGACAATAAAGGCCGGCAGAGCAAAGGGCAGGGAAGGCTGTGGTCTCCCATGGGAGGCAAGCAGACCAGGGGGAGGGAGTGTCAGGAAAGGCGAAGGCACCATATAAGCCAAGAGCTGCAGGAGGGGAGAGGCAGTGAGGGGCAGGCCCAGGAAGGCACCCACGGGGCACATTCCCTTCAGGGAAATCGATGACACATTTAGAAAGTTTCTGGTCACTGTGGGTTTGTGGAGGACGGGGGATGTACCAAAAGGAGAGACCTTCAGTTACCTGAAATCCTGCTTACAAAAGAACCTCATTCTAGGACAAGGCGAAGCAATAACGTTTCATGAAGAAAGGAATGGCAAACTTCGAGTATGGGAAAGAAAAAAACAAAATGATCTCAAAATCCCATTTTGAAACAATGGGACTTCCCAGGGAACATCTGACAAGACTGCAGAAGTCCTTGAGCACAGCCCTTCTGATGGACAGGTTTCAACTCAGTATCTACGAACATCACTGTGGATTCTGTAGGTCTTGGGGAGACAGGAATTTATCAATCGTCAGTCTCATCTCTCTCCACCTACCTATCATCCACCTAACCTATTCATCCACCCACCCATTTATCATCCATCTACCTACCTATCATCTAAGGTATCCATTCATCCATCTTCTACCTACCTACCTACCTACCTGCCTATCTCTACCATCTATGTAGCTATCTATCATCCACCCATCTTTTTAGAGCGCCCTCTATACTTCTTGTGTGAAACCAGGTTTATTACTGTCTGAACTATGCCAAGCTCCCACTCAATTCAATAAAAGTGTCGGTCTGAGCTCAGCAGGTCTCAGCTGGGAGGGGACCCCTACCCTGGGACACTCGGCAATATCAAGAGACAAGTTTGGTTGTCATGACTGGCGGGGAAGCTGCCCCTGGCTCTGAGTGGGTGGAGTGACGGTGCTCCATACCCTACACTGCCCAGGATGCCCCGCCGCAGAGAATGACCCAGCCCCAAGTGTCCACAATGCCAAGGGGGAGAATCTCTGCCTCAGACTTCGAAATTACAGGGTATTTTCAAGCTGCGATATTCCCAAGAAGCCCTCACCTCTCTTATGGTTTTATTACTAGAAAGGAACATGAACACCCAGGTACAGAGACTTGTGAAGGTCCTTAGGCAAAGGAAGGGGACACATGCCAGTGTACTGAGCATCACCTCACCTGCCACCACGGCTTCTCAGCCTCCGCCTCGGCGGGCACCTCAACCCCATACACCTGCAGGGCCAGATGGAGCACTGCCACAGCTATGTGCTGAGCCCGGAACCGAAGGCACAGCCCGCCGTGGTAGCTGTCCCGCAGCAGGGCCCAGGCCGTGACGGAGATGGGGGTCCGCTGCCAGCTGTAACGATTCAGCCAGTTCTTGAGGGAAATCAGGTAGTGGAGCAGGTACTGCAAAGACAAGCCAGTCAGCCAGGTGGCTTTCAGGGCTCTGGCCCCTAGTCACCCGCCTCCTCACTGGGAGGCACGGCGGTTCCTCTGCCTGCCAGCCACTCTACCATAAACTGTCTTGATGTGTATAAAACACAGATTGAATCCAGTTACCTCCCATTCGAACCCTCCAATGGTGCCCTGTATCACTTAGAAAAAAGCCCCAGTGCCTTCCGCTGGCACCCAAGCCCAGCCCCCCTCTCAGCCTCATCGCCCACACCCTACTCCCCCTCACTGGGTTTGATTGTACCAGGTTCTCTCCTCTTCTGGGCCCTGCACTCACTCCCTGTGCCTGAAACCATCTCTGTTCCTGCCCCAATCCCTATGTGCCCACCTACTCTTGTCCTCCATGCCCTGCTCCTGATCCCCACCTGGGCCACTCTTGATGGCCACCCCCATGGAAATCCCTCTCCACCACATGGTCCTGCACTGGCCACTGTCAGCAATCACTCTGCCCCTCCCCAAACATAAGCTCCAGGAAGAGCGTCCTTATCTGAAGAACAGAACACGGTGCCGTGTGCCCAGGCTCAGGCTGGGGGCCAGCCGGTACTAGGGCGCCTGCTTTCAGGAGAATCAGAGCCAGGTGACTGCATTTTGCAATAGCACTGATGGCTGTAAACACTTCACGAATGACCTTCCAGCTCAGCTGTCTGCCTGGGAAGACAGCTGCTTTGTGTGAATCTCCTGATCAACTGAACATACTAATAAGCCTACTTGACAGGTGTGAACACTCGTGCATGGGGCTCCAGCACATGTGGAGGAGGGGATTCACCCTCTGCTTTATGCCTGTCCTAAGCCCTACGGAAGGGAAAGGCCCCACTCCGGGTGTGTGCTGTCCTTCCCCAGACTCTGCTGCGTGACTGCCCCACAGAGCCAGGGCCCTCCTGCCTTGCCCCTGCATCGAGCCAGCACAGGGACATGCAACTGTTTTAAAATCGCCTTCGAAATCTCTGCCGGGGGTTTCCAGGAGCATGTTGGTGGTTTGGAAGGGAGGGGTGACATTGTGAAAAGGGCAACATGAGGGGCCCCTGCGGTGCTGGAGTTGTTTTATAGTTAACTGAGATGCCACCATGGCTCACAAGCCATAAAATTATTTCGTATGGCACTAGCACCGTACAAGTCATGCCCAAGTACCCCATGAACCGGGGACACTGTAGCCACACCGCCACGCCCCAGCAGCTACATCGTATCAACTTTACAAAATGTTTCCATTCAGGGAGACTGGGCAAAGTCTCCCTCTTAAACGAGATGTCATTGTTACTTTCCCCAACTGCTTGTACATCTACACTTGCCTCAATGAAAATGCAATTAAAAAGAAGTAATAATCCTGGCAGAGAGCTTCACAACCTCCCCCCCCACCCCCGCAGGTCACAATTTCCAAGTGCCTTAGGGTTTAATGGGTCCCTTTTGCAGCTATGTGAGACAGCGCTTCTGTTGGGACTTTCGCGGTCCTAGCAGTCAAGAGTGTGCTATTTCACTTGAGTGACCCGGCTTTTCTCATGGGTTTCTAATTCTAAGCAAAACTGAACTGGATGCAAGCTCCAAGACAGAGCAGCAACTCTCAGGGACAGAAACTCTGGCAGGTCACGAAACCAGCCGTGTTTCCCCACGGCTCACTGCGCACAGAATCTATGCGGGTCACAGGATCTGCGAGGGCTTCAGGGGCTCACATGGATCCCGACCTGTGGCCACAGCTGAGCAGGCAGAAAGGCAGAAGCTGAGAAAACTCTGAGAATGGGACAGGAGAGGCCACCTGAGCCAGTCACTGTGTGCCGCCTGGTTGTCCAGCTGTGACCCTGCTCTTCCTATGTCCCCCACATGCTCTCAGAGATCGGATGGGTGCACCTTTGGTATAAAGAACAAAGAGGTTCATACCTTGTGCGGGTGCTGAAAGGAGACTTGGAAACGCAGCACCCTCAGCACAAGGAGCTCACACTGTACGATGCTGTCCCGAAGCACCCAGAACCGGGAGTCCAACTCCAAGGGCTCACTGCCTGGGTGGAAGTACCTGCACAGAGAAACGGCGATGCTCACGGCAGCCAGACGGGTGGCCTTGAGGAACCCCTGAAGTCACCTGATGTCCAGATATAAGCCCCAATGTCCTTCTGCAGTACAATTAACATAGTGTCATTCTACTCTTTTAAAAAAAAATCCTCACCAAGGATATGTTGATTTTAGAGGGAGAGGAGAGGAAGAGAGAGGGAGAGGGGAGAGAGGGAGGAGGAGAGGGAGGGAGGCAGTATAGAGGAGGGGGAGGGGAAAAGTGGGGAGGAGGAGGAGGGAGCGAGACCACCAGCATGTGAGAGAAACATCAATCTGTTGCCTCTGTTGCCTCCCATTAATTCACACCCTCTGGCCCCCACTGACCAGGGATGGAGCCTGCAACCATCTGGTGTACAGGACAACACTCCAACCAACTGAGCCATCCAGTCAGGGCTCTACTTGTGTTTTTACAAATCATTCTTCATCTATATGTCTAGTGTACAGAATAAAGACAATAACTGACGGAGGAAAGAAGCCAACTTCTAGTTTTAGTCCCATATCACTCAGCAGGACACTGTAAGGACAGGCTCTTTGCAATTGCTCCAGAGGCACTGGAAGCTCTGGCAGGCCGCGTCAGCTATGTTTCCTGTTACAGCCAGCCTGGCATCAGGGACAGTTTTTAGCACCCGGGATGGCAATGCCCAGGGTTCTCGCTCTGGGCACAAGGAAGGTCTTCAAATATCATGGGGATGATGTGTACAGGAGAGTGAATGTATTTCAGCTTAGTATTTCCCAGACTGTCTTTCCGTCTTTCCAGATCATTCTGTCCTTTTTTTTTTTTACACCATACATGTCTGCAACACTCTCCCCTTTGCAGGATCGCCAACCGAGATGTACAAAATTCACACGCAAGTAATCAAAACTCTCTGCTGATGACTCATCCTTCCTAGCTCATTACTTGTTTTCCAGTTCCCACAGAACCCCACCTGGGGCCCCATGTCTAATTAGCGATCCATCCAATTTCTTCTCCTGTCAGTCCTCCCTGCTGCGGCCCTGGCAATTATGGGTGGACTCCCGCCACCCTCCCTCGCTTCCCTCTCCTGTTTCACTCTTAGTCTTTTGAGGTACACCATGAACCTGTCATGCTTTTCGGGGGTGGGGAGTGCTTTCGCTGTTACCTGTCTATTAAAAGAAAAACAGCACAAAATCGTTTTCTTTCCTAATGATTAGAGTTCTTGGAAAGGCTATGATGCACCACTAGTCAATAACGTTCCATAAATCACTCTCCTACAGGCCTCAACGCAGCGCGTCTGGCTGGCTGGACCCCTGCACCCTTCCCCAACAGGAACACAGTTTCTTGGGCCCAGGGGTGCCACCCACGGACCACTGTGCCAACATCAGGGCTGGAGAAGCTCCTTAGCAACTCTAACTGGGTTTCTCTCACCATCTAAATAAGATAAAGGCCAAGCTGGCTCCGCCCCCACCCCATATGATGGGCTGAGCTGCGGAGCCCACAGAACCCAAATGGTGTATTCTGTCCTGTCTAAGCCTCCAGAGGAACCTTCTCCGACACATCTCTCCCAGCTCCCAGCTCCCTCTACTCCAGCCACACACCCCTCCCTCCCAACACCGTGACTCCAGGGACTTCTTCATACCCACCCCCTCCCCATTCCATCTGGTCTTTGAGGCTCCCCATAATCTGGTCCAAGCTTCTTTCCCACAGATTCTCCCTCCACGCTTCTGATACCAGGCTCATTCCCACCTTTGCTGCTGCTGCTTCCAGCCCTGGTTCAAGATCACCCAGGTGCTTCCTTCTAAGCTTGACTGCTGGAGCCTGGAAGGCAGGGCACCATGGGACCCTTCTCTGCCCCCCCTTTTGGGTGGACACCAGGACGTCTTCCCAAATGCATGGACCAGGAAGCTGTTACCTGTTGGACACATTGATGATGTCACGAGTACGCAGGTGCTGCTCTTCCACTTTGCCAGCCAAGTAAAGGGAAGACATGGCGATTAAGTAGGGGTCATAGGCATCCAGGTTGATCTCGCAGAAGAACTTATGGTAAATGGCACAGGCGGTGGCGACAGGAATGGACTGCATCCCTAGCTTGACACCTACCAAGAGAAAGTAGGCAAGAGATAACTCAACCCAGTACTCATCCCCTCCTAAATTGTGAGGACACCTGCTGAGTTGGGCCCTACGGTGCACACCTCTGCTCAGTCAAGACCAAGAGCTTGCATCCTAGCTAGCACTGACTACTGGGTCTCTCACCAAGTCCCCTACCTGCCTGAGGGGATTAGAGAAAGCCTTTTTATACTCTAATGGGCTAACAAGCACCTGTGGCTTGTGCGTTAAGTACTTCAATAGCTCTGCAAATTCTCCTCTTCTACCCAGCCCCCAGGTCACACCCAAGCTCCAGGTCTGCAGACCCCACTAGGTGAAGCGAAGCTTTAAATTACTGCTTGGTTAGCACCTGGCATCTCAGCTTCCGCACAATATCTTGCAAAGGACCACACACTGTTGCGTGCCTGCTTCCTGCTTAACAAGCATTTAACTAGGCTCACCTCACTGAAATCCTGCCAAGATGACAGGAGCAAAAAAAGCCCTCTGAGCATCAAACAGATACCTCAAGTCCTGAGGTTACAGTTAAAGATTATACTCAGCACTGGTTTCCTAGTCTGCAGGCTAGAAAAAACAAGCAGAGTACCTGCCAAAGGCAAGTGCAGGCAAAACAGAATAGCCCCAGCCAGGCCCCACAGAAGACTGACACACTGAAAAGTGAACAGAACTCAAAAACCAGAGCACAGTGGTTTGATTTAGGGTTTAAGGTCCATCCCCGACTCCATCCCTAGACAGATCCTAAGGAAATCACTGCAATGGGTCACAGAACTGAAACAAATTCACAAGGACCAGGATTAACAAAATAAGGTCAAATGACATCTAATAAACTGAAAAAAAAAGTGGAGAACAACCAACCATCATTAAGATCACCTTCAATATCTTCCACCTAAGAAGATATAATTAGGCCCCGGCTGGTGTGGCTCAGTAGGTTGAGCACTGCCCTGCAAATCAAACAGTTGTCAGTTCGATTCCCAGTCAGGGCACATGTCTGGGTTGCGGGCCAGGCCCTCAGTTGAGAGCATGGAAGAGGCAATGGGGCAACTACACATTGATGTTTCTGTCCCTCTCTTTCTCCCTCCCTTCCCCCTCTCCAATAAATAAATAAAGAAAGAAAATCTTTTAAAAGAAAAAGTGTATTAGTTCCCTAAGGCTACATTAACAATTTACCACAAATTTGGTGGCTTAAAACAAGACACTTTTTTTTCCCCTCTCACGATCCTGGTGATCAGAAATCCAAAGTGAGTCTTACAGAGTTAAGCTCAAGGTGCTTGGCAGGACCGGTTTCCTCTGGGGGCTCCAGGGGAGAATCTGTTTCCTTGCCCTTTCCAGCTTCTAGAGACACTTGCAGTCTGTAGCTCATGGCCCCTTTGTCTCTTGAAAGCCAGCAGTGCAGCATCCTCTAAGTCTGCTTCCACCATCAAACAGCCTCTCCTCTGCCTGCCCCTCTTCCTGCCTCCCTCTTTGAGGATGGATGTGATTACCACATTTTGCCGTGTATAATGCATTCCTATGTGTAATGCGCACCCACGTTCTTGGCCCAAATTTTCAGGATTAAAAAAAAAGGCTTTTCTTTTAATTTTTGAATTCAATTATTTACTTATTTATATTTAGATACTTGTTTGTTGTATTATAAAGGAATTTTAGTATTTCTTTTTAAACATACTATAAGAAATTACATGTAACGAATACTTAAAAGAATTAAAAACATGTATCTAGCTATGGAATTAGTACTACCCATGTATAATGAGCATCCTTATTTTTCCCTCAAAAATTCGGGCAAAAAAGTGTGCATTATACACAGCAAAATAAGGGTGTGTCAGGCCCACTGGGAAATCTAGAATAGTTCCCCCACAGCAAGATGCTTAAGTCCATCTGTCAAATCTCTTTTGCTACATAAGGTAACAGTCACAGGTTCCAAGGCTGAGAATGGGGACATCTCTAGAGGACCGGTATTCATCCCAGCACAGAGGGCAAAAGTATGCACAGTAAGTTTTATAAAGAAGCCCTTCAAAAGTGATACCTAAAGAGCTTTTAGCATTCCAAAGTTTCAACTTCAGTTGTTACATCAAGAGTTCCTACACGGGACCCCTCATTCCCAGAGATGTCCATAAGGTAGTAGTACTGCTGCATCTGACCTCCCAGGAAGTCTTATTTTATACAGCAAAGTCTCAAAGGGCAGCATGCTTCCCTGGTTTACATGGACCCTCGGAGCAGATGGATGGAGCATTTGAGGGGACATTACCATCCTTCCTGATACACTCTGCAACTCTTCTTAGAAATATGAGCCTGCATCATTTCCACAAACTCTCTGCTCCCCTTCACTTGATAGCAGACTCATCCAATCCCCTCTCCCTCAAAGTGCACACAAAGTAACAAAAAGTAACTAACTGTCCCTCAGGTGATTAAGATGAATAATGTTTTTACAGGAATCTGGTTGGTTTCATATCCTGCCTTGGAACCAGGGGCATCCAAAACCACTGTGGACGCCCTGACAGGGTTGAAAATGCCAGATGCACCCTGGGACCTCTCCAACAAGGCTTGTCCTGAACCTCACCAAGAGTGTGCTTCAAAAGGTTCTATGAGCCCTGGCTGGTGTGCCTCAGTGGACTGAGAGCCAGCCTGCAGACCTAGAGGTCACCAGTTTGGTTCCCATTCAGGGCACATGCCTGGGTTGTGGGTTCAGTCCCCATCTGGCGCACATGCAGCCGATTGCTGTTTCTCTCCCTCTTTTCCTATCTCTCTAAAATATTTTTTTCTTAAAAAAAAAAGGCTCCATGAAACCAAGCGCTATACAGTGTCCCCATCCCCGTTGCTACAGATAGGTGTGGCAAAAGGTACAGTACACTCAACCCAGCTGCAGGCACCCCGACTTGGCCACCTTGTAGCTAGAGCCAGTTTCTTTCCATGCCGTCTCTTTGGGTCTGAGCGCCGGATCATGAAATGACAATGACCGCGTCTGCCTCGCAGCACAAAGCCTAATACACACGGCGTGCGGAAAGGCAGAGGCCCGTTTCAGGCCCGATCTCTTCCCTCTACCTAGCCGCGCCAGCTCCAAGTCCTTTAAGTCCCCTCCCCTGCCAAGCAGGGCCCCTCGACGCTGGCCACAGGTCACAGGCCCCGCCCCCCAAGGGCTGGCCAGGGCCGCCTCCGTGAAAGTGCAGCACCATGGCCTCCAAGCCCCATTTGCTCAGGGAACGGTCTCTTCCCGGCCACGGTTACCTGCCTCCATGATGAACCTCGTTACACGGAAGTGCACCCTTGCCTCGGGAGCAGCCCACCCCTGGGCTCCCCGTGTCGCGTCTCCCCCTCCATAGCAGTCCAGACCGACGCTTTCCATGGGACCCCGCCCAAAGGCCCCAGACCCCCCGGCCATAAGGACTAGAGTCCCCAGCACGCGCTGGCCGGCCCCGGGGGGGGTCCTAGCGGCGGGCGCGGCCGCCCCGCCCCGCCCCGCCCCGCCCCGCCCGAGTCGGCCCGCGCCCCCGCCCCCAACGGGGGGGGCGGGGTGAGCGCGCGGCTGCGCGCTACGGGCCAGCGGGTGGAGCTGGATGGCGCAGGCCCAGGCGCAGGCGCAGAAACCGATGCTGGCTGATAGCAAGCACGAGTTGCTGCCAACCACGCGCCTCAGAGGCTTTTCCCGGGCCGCCACAATACGCAAGCTCCGCCTCCGGGAGCCTTCTTTTTCCCCGTGGGACACAGACCGCTCCGCCTTCAGACGCCTCATGCCTTGGCCTTGGGAACCTCAAGCCCCGCACTTGGGAGCTCTACCCACAGTTGCTCAATCCCCGAAGGCCACATACCCCACCTTAGGGAGCTGCACGCCCTAACCCCCACACCGCCCAGGCAGCCGGAACCTATGGGGCCACTGCGAGGCCACCCCCAGGCACCTGAGCTGGGGGGCCCACTAAGATTTCTCAGTGGGCTGGTGGTCCAGCGTAGTATACATAGGACGGGGAGAGTTGGCGGCATCTGCCAAGCCGTGGGCGAAAGGCACGCACAGGAGTTCACGCTGAGCCTTGGGCGCCTCCCAACAGGAGATGGCGTGTGGTTCAGCGTCAGTGTCCGTAAAACCCGAATCCAGGTTTGCTGTAATGCCCAGAACACTCAGAAGAGCCCCAGAGGAAATGTTGTGCACAGAACGAGGGCATCGGGGGTGTTTGTCTCAGCATCCCTTTAGGATCTGGTTACTGCTCTCCTTTCCAGCCTGGCACAGAGTAGGAACTTAATAAATGTTTGCTGAATGAATATTCAACTCACAAAACCATCCCGCGTTTTATTAGTGTCTTGCACAAACAGGAAATTGTGCGTCAGGCACTAGGGATATTTGTAGCTCACCAAAGGGACTCCCAAGCTCTCTGAGGTCATTCCAATACAGTTGAATAGGATTTGAGACAGCTAGGAAGTTGAGAGGCAAATGCCACTGTTCCCAAGCCTTTCTACCTGGGTGACTGGACCCTAGTGAGGATCCCGAAGTCACCTTCCACCCACCCAGCCTTGGTCCCCTTCCTCAGATCCCCACCACCACCCAGCTCCTCCCAGTGCTCTTTCTGCATCAGCTCTGTTAGTTTCCTGTGGCTGCTGAAACAAATGACCACAAGGTGGGGGGCTTACAACAGCAGGGATTTATTCTTCCCCGGTTCCGGAGGCCAGAAGTCTGAAATTAGGTGCCTGCAGAACCATGCTCCACCCGAAAGCAACAGGGGAGGACCCTTTCTTGCCTCTTCCAGCTTTTGGTGGCCCCTGGCATCCCCCTTGGCTTATGGCTGTACCACTCCCATACCTGCCTCCACTTTCACATAAAGACACTTACTGTATTGGGGGCCCACCAGGGTAATCTAAGATGACCTCATCTGAAGATCTTTAAATTCATCACATCTGCAAAGACCCTTTTGCCAAATAAGGTCACATTCACAGGTTCCAGAGATTAGAACGTGGACACACCTTCAGGGGCAATACTATTTAGCCCACAAGATCAGCCACCAGAGTGAGCGAGCTTCCTAACATGTGAGGCTGAATGGGCCCCACCTTGCCTAACACCTTCCTGAGCCCCTTCACCTCGGAGAAAGCTTGAGGCCTTGGCCTGACATGTCGGTCCTTGTGGAGTCTCCCTGTCAACGAGCCAGCCTTGAATCTCACCACTTTGACACTTGTGGCAGGGCCTAGGGTAGCTGCCTGAAGATAAATGGACTCCCAGATCAGGGTCTTTGCACATGCTCCACCCAGTGAAGGAATTTCTGCCTCACATCCCTCTCCCTAGCTTCCTCTGTCTGAGGCAAGGCTCAGGCCTTCTGGGCTGAGTCCCTGCGTGTGAGAAACCCGTGTGTACGTGTGTGGAAGGGCTCAGGATGCCCAGCTCCTGTGCTGCTGGCCTCTGTCATATCTTGAGCCCTCCATCGCTGGTATCTGACCCTGGGTGGGGAGCAGTGCTGAGGCAGGAGATAGTCACAAGGGAGTTAACTCCGGAGTTGCCCCAGGGCTAAGACAAAGGACACTGATACAGGACAAAGACCTTGTTCCAAGACCTGTTGTTTCTGCTTTTCTGGGAAAGCACTGAGTCATGGTGAATGAATCATGAATGCACCTCCATAACCCCTGCTTCAATATAATAGCATCATAATAAATTAACATTGTGGGACCCCCCTTCTCCAGTGACCAATCAAGAAAAATCATGGGAGACCACATGACCTTTAAAGCAATATAACTATTTGTACATGTGCAATAAAACCCCGCCAAAACTAGCCAGGAAGTATCCACCCTGTAAGAATAGAATCCCTCCAGCCACTGAGGGTCAGTCTCTGCTCAGAGCCGATCCATTCCTATGTTCTGTGGAGTGCACTATTGCTTAATCTGCTTCTCTCTTTCTGCTATAAACTGTCTGTGTGTTCGGTTGTATTCTTTATCTGTAATCACCAAGAACCTGGTTACCTGTGCCCACCTGTGACATTTTCACCCTCTTCTGAGCCTGAGGCTGAAACTCAGAGAGCCTGAAGCACCCACCTAAAGGAGCTGTGGGTCTTGGAGGATCAGGCTGCTGCCTCCTAGCTTCCCACATCCATGCACACTCCACATGCTCTCCATGCAGTCACACACAAACATATGCATGCACACACATCAGGCACTCCCACCACTGATGTAGAGGTTCATGTGTGTACACACATGCACACACCCAAATTGTGTCCCCCTTTCCTCTGGTCCCTGCCTGTCACCTCCACACCCACTGTGTTTGCCAGTTAAACAGTGCAACTCGAACTCCTTCTTTTCCCCTGGGCCCTTTGCGACGTGAAGAGTCGGCTTAGCAAGTCATAGGTACCCTATGACTGTGAATTGAGGGAATGAATCAATGAACACATTCATTTTTAAAGCCCTGGGTCACAGGGCATTCTCCTGGCAGGCAGCCTGGGTGCAGTGGTTGATAAATGAATAATTCACTAGCCACCAATTGAAACTAGCAACCCCCTGGGCAGCACCTCATCTCCTATCATGAAGCCACACACCCAACAAGGGGGCCTCCCCTTCTCTGAAATGTTGATCTTCCCCTCTTTCCCCACGCCCTGGACCCTTGACCTCCCCTAGAGATCATTTCCAGACCTGATCCAGAGAAAATGGTCCATAATGGTGGGATGGACAGTGATACCAGAAGAGGATTGTATGGTATTATTTCCTTATCTAACCCTTACTGTCGTGCCTCTACCCTTAAGTAAGCCACAAACTCCCTCTTATAATGCTATTGTCTAACACAAGAGGGAGGGAGAGGGGCTCAGGCTGAAGCTCAAAGGAAAACAAGAGGGGAAAGGTATTTTTGGTGCAGAACAAAGGCTGTGCCCAGGCAGGGTCAAAGGAAAGCCTGGAAGATCTACAAAGACAGGGGGCATCCAAAGTGCTCGGAGCCACCCACCTCCACCTCGCAGAGGTGCAGTCAATTGAAGAGCAGCCTCATCAAAGTCCAGTCCTGCCTCTTGTCTTTGGAATCTTCTTAATACTTAAGAACCAAGTTCCACTGTCACCCGGTTTTTTCCTACCCCTCCGTCTTTCCACCAGCACCTCTGTGCCAGCGTGAGCAGCGGCTCAAGCCTCTTCCCTCCCACCATCAGCTAACCCAGCAGCCTCACTTTGGGTGTCCCTTCCTGCCCCTGCCGCCCTCTACCCACCCACCTTTCTTAACTCTACATCTCCAAAGCCATATGTGAAAGGACAAAGCCAGTGCCATTTGCTATCACAGCACCATTTTCCGAGCGGGCCTATGACCTTGTTAAACATGACTGCCATTTTGCTCTTCTGAGTTTCTGTCCCCAGGGCTGGAAGTTACTGGAAAAGCAAGAACAGAACATGACTAACCACTCCCTACGCCACAGGCAGGAGATAACATTTCAGTCTCTGTTACAATTCCCCCGGCTGCCCAGGGGCTACCCAACAGCACCCCCTCCAACCTTTTTAAATTCAACTATAATCCAATGAAAGCTCAAAGCCCCCACCCCTCAATGCCGATGTATCTCTCCACACCTTGCCCCTCTCCTTTCTTGGGGAGTGAATAAAAACTTTATTCTGTACACTTTCTTCTCTTTGTAAATTCTTTGACAGCCTGCATCACCAACCACCCTAGCGAGCAATTTGTGTCGCTGGACTCCATGGTCTCCCGCTTGCTCTGCCCTTGGCTCCCCAAATCTGGCCCCTGATGTATGAGACTGTTTCCCACCCCAGCCCTATCCTTATCCTAGATTGTTTATGTGATACAACAAAATACCACAGACTGGGTGACTTATAAACAACGCAAATTTATTTCTCACTGTTCCGGAGAATGAAAATCCAAGATCAGGGTGGCAGCAAGGTGATGTTCTGGAAAGAACCCTCTTCTGGGTTCCAGATAGCCATCTTTACACTGTGTCTTCACATGGTGGAAGGGGCAAGGGATCTCTCTGGAATGTCATAATTCCATTCTTGAGGGTTCTGCCCTCATAACCCAATCACCTCCCAAAGACCCCACCTCCCAATACTATCGCCTTGAGGCTTAGGATTTCACCATATGAGTTTGGCAGGGGGGACGCACACATTCAGACCATAGCGCCTGCCAAGGTCATGTGCCACCTCCGAACTGTCTCCTCCCAGCAGCACTCGCTGCAATTGACCACTCTGTAATAGTCTGTCTCCAAACTCCAATGTGTAACTGCTGACAACTGTGAAGCCTCATCCACCCTGTCCCCCTTGAGCCCACATCTGGAAAAGCCTGGGTACTACTCCCTCATCTTGGTGCTGAAAGGGAGTTCAAACCACACACAGGAACCCTCACCCCGACCCCAGCCCCAACCAGGATAAAGCACCCCACCCGTCTCCCTCCCATGACCTCTCAAGCTATTTTCTAACCAGTTTGGGGGACCTGCCCTGCTTTCCCCCAGAGAGCCACAGTATATGAGTAAGGAAACTTCATAACCTGTTGGTA